TATAGCACTCTAATTGCTGAACGTGCCATCTCATAATAATAAATTCAAACTTTGAAATTTTATATTTTATGTTAATTTAATATTTTTCAAAAAAATCTAGTTAAATTATTATTATTTTCATTACATTGACATAATAATTTATATGTCAATCCATATATAATTAATTATTGATGTAATATTATTTTACTGATATATAATAATTTTTGTCATTTTATAATATTTTATAATAAATTATTTTTTTCTAAAAATTGTATATTTTTATATTTTTGGCATTATTTAGATTCAACAATATAACACGTCGATAATAAAATATACAAAGATTATTATACAAAATACCCCATTAACGTTAAAAAAATTTAATGATTTAAACATCATTTTTATTACAACTAAATAATTTAACTAAAAATAAAATTTAAATTTAACTAAAAAAGAATAATAAAATTTAAACTAATAATGAAATATAAATATTATATTTATCACTATACCTATATATTTTTGTAATCACTATTATACATGATAAATGGTAAAAATTATATAGGATCGAATTGACAGTTAAAAGTTAAAAGACATGTTTGAGCCTTTGGAAAAGTTGAATAGTTAGAAATTTTAATATATTAAGAATGTCTATAAAATTCATAATCTTCAACGTAATTAACTTTCATATACACCAACAACTAGTTGATCTGACTGAATAAATTCTTTAAACAAAGTCAGAGGTTTAAATCATGATATTTGCGCATGGAACAAACTGAGTTGAAAAAGTCACAATCGACTCTGCAGTACTCAATCTAGATTATTCAATTAATAAATAATCGGAACCAAAAGTTTGAACCAAAAGTTAAGAGTTGTTCAATGTCAAAACATAAAACAACACTAAAATCTAAATACTTTTTTTATCAAAATCCCCTTCTAAAAGTAGTGTTAAAGAAGCATTCAAAGGTGTTTCTAAAAAGGAGATGCTTTATCACCTCTTTCTTTATTCTAATACGATTTGTTAATTCCCCTTCACTTTATTCTCTCTCAACCAAAAGATTATTCTTTTACCATTCATACTTTTAATTCATTTTTTTAAGGAAATAACTTAGGCGGTAAAAAAATATATAGAGAATGCAGGTGATGAACAAACATTTAGTAATTTAACGTGATTGTTACGGTGGAGAACGAACTCGTCATTTTAACAAGTCGGGTTTTAATAAAAAATATTATTTAAAATTCTAAAAAATTTCTTCGTAGACTTGTCTCACTAGAACAACGAGTTTCTTTTTTTTTTTGGTAAGAAAATGAAAACTACCTAATTACTTAAACCTAATTGCATTCTTCAATCACGAGTTGGCTTATATCAGCAGGAAGCTCCTGTAAGATTATGGTTTGGCTATCTTCGAAATTGACGCTTCTTGCTAGTTTATCAGCAATTTTATTCCCTTCTCTTCGGACATGAACAACGAGTTTCTTTAAATAATAATTTTTATTAAAATTCGTTTCGTTAGATCAATGAGTTCCCTCTCCACTATAACGATCACGTTAGATTATAAAACTTTTTCTATTAAATTACATTTTGTTTATTTTATTTCTTCCATACATTTATTCCTCTAGAAAAAGTCACTTTCAATGATATTATATTACAATGCAGCATCTGAAGAATTAAATAAAGGAAAAACAGGACAGTGGATTCATTGATACAATTTGGTCCTCAATCATAATGAATGTTTCAGAAATCTCCAGTAGAAACCAGCTGTTTGTTTGTGCTGATCAAATGGTACTACTGTATCCTTTACTCCCCTGACGAGATATAAATATAGCTTATAGATTTTTAGGATGTGTTTGGTTCACGGAATATAAGATTACCAGCAGGAATATAGGATTACCAGAGAGAATAGAATTATCGGCGGGAATAAGATTAATGGGAATGTTGTATTTTGTGTTTGGTTTGTTTAGCATGAATGTAAGATTACAATGTTTAATTAAATGAATAAAAAATTATTAAAAATTTATATTTTACCAAATTATCCTTATTATATACATATATTTTTAACAAGTTGAATTCTACTATAATTCTACTATAATTAATTTATATATTTTCTTTAAAAAATTTAAATTCATAAAATTTATTTATTTTTTACAAAATTGAAAAGATAAATAAGTTTAATGAAAGGGTAAAATTTTATTTTAACCCTGAACTTCATATAAAATTTTAATTATGAATTTTTCTGTAAATCTAAAATAGTGTAAGGATAAATTTGTAATTTAACCTTCGTAGAATTTTTTTTATTCAACGACATAAGAAGGATATTTTTGAAGAAAAAAAATTAAGGGCATTTTAGTCCAAAACGCTGGTAATCCAACAATACCTAAGGAAATGAGCAATCACATTTCCAGTAATATACCCCCAAAATATCACTGTTTGGAATAAAAGATTGCTCTTAGGGTGCGTTTGGTTCACGGAATATAAGATTACCAGTGGGAATGTAAGATTACCAAGGAATAACATTACTGGGAATGTTGTATTTTGTGTTTGGTTGGCTTAGCAGGAATGTAAGATTACCGTGTTTGGTTAAAGGAATAAAAGATTATTGGAATGTATATTGACCAAATTGTCCTAATTATATTTGTGTAATATTACAAGTTGGAAATATTTATATATTTTCTTTAAAAAAATTAAATTCATAATATTTATATATTTTTACAAAATTAAAAATAAAAAAAGTTTAATGAAAGGGTAAAATTTTATTTAAACCCTTGAACTTTATATAAAATTTTAATTATAGATTTTTTTTTGTAAATCTAAAATAATTTAAGGATAAATTTGTAATTTAACATTCGTAAAATTTTTATTATTCGATGACAGAATAAATATATTTTTGAAAAAAAATAAAAATTTAAGGGCATTTTAGTCCAAAACGCCGGTAATCCAACAATACCTAAGGAAAGGGAGGTAATGACATTCCCGGTAATATACCCCAAAAAATCCACTATTGGTAATCTTACATTACCGGGAATAGGATTCCCGGGCTAACCAAACGGGGGAATGTGGATTCCATTCCCATGGGAATCCCACATTCCCCAATCCAAACACCCCCTTAGGGTGTGTTTGGTTGGAGGAATGTGAGATTCTCATGGGAATGAAATTCACATTCCCCCGTTTGGTTGGTCAGAAATGTCATTCCCGGTAATCTTACATTATCAATAGTGGATTTTTTGGGGAATTTTACCGGGAATGTCATTACCTCCATTTCCTTAGGTATTGTTGGATTACCGGCGTTTTAGACTAAAATACCCTTAATTTTTTTTAAATATCATTATTCTGTCATTGAATAATAAAAATTATACGAATGTTAAATTACAAATTTATCCTTAAACTATTTTAGATTTACAAAAAAAAAAGTTTATAATTAAAATTTTATATAAAGTTCAGGGGTTAAAATAAAATTTTACCCTCTCATTAAACCTTTTTATATTTCAATTTGTAAAAAATTTATATAAATTTTATGAATTTCAATTTTTTAAAGAAAATATAAATATTTTCCAACTTGTTAAAAAAACAAATATATAATAAGGATAATTTTGTCAAATATACATTCCAATAATATTTTATTTCTTTAACCAAACACGGTAATCTTACATTCCTACTAAACCAACCAAATACAAAATACAACATTCTTAGTAATCCTATTCACTGATAATATTTTATTACCACTGGTAATCTTACATTCCGTGAACCAAACGCACCCTTAAAGTATTTACTATTCACCTAATAAATTGAATCAATAAACCAACCTTTAAAAACATTTAAGAAGACCCCATAAATATATGTTTGTTTTTTTAACTGACGTGAGATTTTAAACGCTAATGGTTTGAATTTTACTTTGGGAATATTTAGTATTTTAAAATTTGCAAACGTTAGGTTCAAATATTTGATCTTATTTAAAAAATCTAATGTTTTATCCCTCTAGACCAACTCATTATTAGTAAAAAGTAAACATTTATAATGTTAATAGTAAATAATTATAATGTTATGGTACTATTTGATTTAAATTTAATCAGTTTTCTATAATTATACACAATATACATATATTTTTTTCATATGTGATATACATATATTATGCAAAACTCAAACTTAAAAATCAATCAATTAATTACTACAGATTTTGAGTTATTCGAGTTATATTTTATAATTCGACTCGAATTTAAATCTTTTTTCGAGTCAAATCAAGTTTATGATATTATAAAGCCAATCAAATAAAAAAAATTAATATCAAATCAAAATTTTCTCACTCTAACAATCTCATGTGTGCTTTTATTTTTATTTTCCCCGCTAGGATGATTACAAGATAATATTTGTTCAAAATTTTCTTAGTTATTAATAATACACACACCCACAAACGCAACTGTTAAGCAACAAAATTTTAGAGAGAACAATAATTGCATTAATTGAGGCTATTAAGGGTTCTTATTTTTAATTTTTTTATAATCTGAGATAAATGCATAATAATATATGTTTAAAGACTCTCAATAAATTTTTTAATTACTAAAAATTTGAATTATTCGAGTTTTATTTTATAACTCGACTTGAATTTAAAAATTTTCAAGTCAAGTCTAATTTATGATATTACAAATCGAACCAAATCAAGTCTTTTACTCACTCTAACAATCTCACGTGTGTTTTAATTTTTATTTTTTTAATAGTCTATTATGATATAATATTTATTTAAAAAAATAATTATTAATAAATACACATTCACAAAAATAATTGTTTTCTTTAATCATCCGGACTATATTTTATATACGCAGCGCTCGAATTCAGTCCATATAATGGGGACCACAGTCCGCAAAGCGATAGAGAATAGATGGATGGGCCTTTGTTTTCCAAGTGCCCTCTTGATTGGAAGAAACCGGCCATTGCCGTTGTATTTTTCTTACACCCAAAGAAAGAAAATAATAATAAAATAAAAAATGCATATATTCAACAAACCACCTTCAGATTCGACTTTCCTTTGTCTCTTTGATGACTGTTTAGATGACTCATCTCTACATGAACACGATGACTCTGCTCTGAAATCCAACCCCTTTTCTTTGTTATTCCACCTCTTTTCACTGACCTTTATCGAGTTTCCCATCAGCCCTTTAGGTTCCCCTTTTCACTAAATTTGCTGCTCTGTTCTTCAAGGTTGTTGCTTTATTATCTGGGTTTTTTATTGGGTCTGATTGGGTTTTTTTTATTGGTTTTATTATCTGGGTTTTCCCTTTCATTCAATTCAATGCTTTTTTTATTGTTGAAGATTGATGTTTGTTCATGAATTTTGCTTCTAACTATTGTTATTTTATTGTTCCTCTTTGTTTTCCAGGGTGAATCTGATATTATCACTTCCTTCTGGGTTTTGATTTTGATTCAATTTTGCGGTAACTTTTGAGTCCCAAACTTGGGCTTTTTTTCTCTTTCAAGGTATTTTCATCTCTCCTTTTGTGGTTCTGTTTTTGTTTTATGCTCAATAGCTTAGATCAGCGAAGGAGGATTTTGTGGGATGTAGAAATATGACTTATTGGTAAATTTTTAGAGTTGAAGAAAAGTTAATCATGTTAGGATTATATTGTTTAATAGCTATTGTTGGTGTAATTATACTGTTTTTGTTTTCTAGAAAGATGAACATGTGAATATCCATATTGATTCCCTACCATCTCCTTTTTTTCTTTTTCTTTTTACGCCTTAAATTTTTTTAACTTTGGAGCTTTTTGTTTTTTATTTCCCTCACCTTTGATGTTGCTTTGTGATTAATGTTTATCATTCTTAAACAATACTTGCTCTTTAACTTTTACTCGATAGTTGTGGGTTTATCATAGGTTTTGAGTTCAAAATCGTACTACAAATCTTTTTTCAGCCATTGTTCTTCAGTTACCAATTTTGAGATTTAAGCATGTTTTAGCTTAAGTTTACTCGTTGAATTGCTTTCTCTTGTTTTGTTGGCTCCAATTGTAAACTCGTATTTCTATTTGCTTATTGATGATTGAGGTGTTTAGTATCCTCTTTTGGCATTTATTTTTTGGTCTTAACTTTCTGTCTTCCCCTCTCTCAGTTTATTTGGTTAAATAATCTATTTTCTATAGTACTAGTTCTTAACCAATTATTGTTGGCATGAAGCTTCTCATGATATGATTGTGAAATCCAATGAAATTGTGCATCTGAAAACTTAAATCTGCAGTCTTAAATGCGGGCAGTTTTTTTATTAAATATTCGATATACATTTTTGAATATCCAAGATGCTTGGTTAGAACAAATCTTGGAGTCTTGAAAATCAGTCTTACTTTGGGATAATTGGACACTTTCCATTTGTACTTTTGGAATTTTACTTTGAACCCAATTTTCTTTCTTGATTGTTTTAATCTTTTTTTAATCACGTGCTTTGATAGAGGTAGCTTTGATTTTGGATGAGTTTAGCTTGGTATTTTCTATCAGAATTACAATCATGGTTACTGAAAAAACGCTTTCATACTATTGCTCCATGTTTTAAGATGTTCATTTAATGTGATGTAAGCTTGATTTATTTCCAGGAGAATCCTTATGTCTTGAACCTTGATTGCTTGTTAAGGGGAGTATCGATCAGTAGAGGGTTGTAATATGGGGGCCTCTAGCTCTAAAGTAGAAGAGGATCAAGCCCTGCAGTTATGTCGCGAAAGGAAGAAATATGTTCGTCAGGCACTTGATGGAAGATGCTTACTGGCAGCAGCTCATGTTGCATATATTGAGACACTAAAAAGTTCAGGCACTGCTCTTAGGAAGTTTGTTGAGCTTGAAGCTCCAGTTGAGTCTTCCCTTTACACTTCAACTAATGCTACACCAGAGCCCCTTGCTTTAACCGAAAAGTCTCTTTCCCAGTTTTCATACTCTTCTCCATCTTTCTCACAACGTTGATGCAACCGAAACCTTTTCTCCATCTCCTCCCACTTCCAGTCATTTTCAGGTGAAACATATGAGGTTTGGGGTTACATCTTCACGAAAAGTTGAAGAGAAACCCCCCGTACCTGATATCAGATTGATAACCTCATCAAGTACTCCACAGAATACCACCCCTCGTTCCACTGAAAAACCAGAATCATCACCATTTGACGCTTCTTCTTTGCCGTCAGGAACTCCAGAATGGGATTTCTTTGGTCTCTGGCATCCAATTGACCATCAATTGTCATTTCAAGAAGGGAAGGAATCAAACCAGGGTCCAGGAACCATTGACGATTTTAGAAAACATAGGGAAGAGGAAGTTGTTCCAGAGCTAGAAGATGAAGAGAGAGTTTCATTACATGAAAGAGAAGAAACTCAGGGTTCAGAAGATGAATTCGATGATGAGCCTCCTGCAGATACTCTAGTTCGAAGTTTTGAAAACCTGAACAGAGTTAATGACAATAAAATATCAAATGAACCATCAGCTATCCCATCTGTTGGTAGTGTAGCTTCAGAAACTGACTCTTTCAGTAGAGAAAAAAGAATTTCGGATTTGTCACCATTACAAGGGACACCTCACAGTTTTTCTATTCCAACTGAAATAAAGAAAACTCCTGTCAAAGAAGAGGCTTCTGAAAACAAGGTTGCCACTAAAGATTTCCTTTCTGTCATGAAAGATATTGAGTTTCTCTTTGTAAAAGCTTCCGACTCTGGGAAAGAAGTTCCTCGGATGCTTGAAGCTAATAAGTTGCATTTCCGTCCTATTTTGCCTGGAAAAGGTCAGACCCAGATTCATCTCTTTCTCACTTGCACATGCATGCCATCACCACACACGCAGAGTAAATCTTTTGTGTTTGTTTGGTGTCTCATCTGGGTTGGGAGCTATGCATGATTAAGAAGTGGTTTATCTAGTGAGGAAGTGCATGATTTTGTTTTACAAACTTTTTCTTGTTTATCATTTATCTTTGTGTTATACAATTGACCTTGATCCATTTGAATGTATTGAGGTCTTCGCATGTGAAAAATTGGTAAAACAATTTTGAATTTATGGAGATTTCCATTTCAATCAGTTCCATTGAAGGGTCTTCATAAATGGTTTTCTTATATTTGTATGTTTTGGTGAAAGTTATTGTTCACAGGATTTTCTAATATTTCAGGTGGATTGACAACATCGACTTTTTTCAGTGCATGCTTCTCTTGTGGAGAAGATCCAAGCCAAGTCAAAGAAGGTAAATTTCCATTACCCATTATTTTTGGAACCATGTTGAAACAGTTTGAGCTCCTTAAAATGTAGTGCCTGCGCTGTGCACTTTGTTTAGTGATGAAATACATGTCTTGGGTAATCTGTTGCAAATAGCACATACATGGCAGACAGAGCTCTGAGCAAAGGCAACAACAAATTAGTTATATCATTATATCTTGAAATCATTCAATGTGATGTGGGAAGAGTGAACATAATAATATTTGATTGTTTGAAGAAAAACCAGTGGAACTGATGAAATGAAATACAAAATATGTTATTGCCTTGAAATCCTTTCATGAAACCCTTACATGATGAAATTATGAGAAGTTGGGAGTGACAGTTTCGAAGTGGGACTATGAGATGCTTTTTCTCTTTAAGATTCATGCCATATTTAAAGTATACATTTTGCTAGAAAAACATACATTTTGCTAGAAAAACATTAACCTGAAAGGATGACAAAATGACATCCAAAATATGCTTTTTGCCTTGAAATCCTTTCATGAAATCGTTGATAATGGAACATTGAGCAGTTGAATGTGAGTGACTGCCAACATTTGAAGTGTCAGATTTTATATTTTCCCTAATGCATATTATCTTCTGTTTTTAAAGAATACATTTTCTTGTATTACTTGCAAATTTTGTTATGTTATAAAGTTGCAACAAGTGGAAGAATACAACAGGAAATTTCATATATGTAAAGCATGTTTAAGGGAATATAATCTATATGCTGTTAATATAAGAATCCTTTTACAAATGCTTTTTATGCGTCATCCTTGTAATTGTAAAGAATGAATGAACAATAGAAGTATGTAGATGGAAATTGTGGATGTTAACATCTTAAAATAAGCAAACTAATGTATGCGTGGGATTTAGGGCAAGTTCTGTAATGGTTTATCTTCTTAATGATTTTAGGTTATTTATTTTCTTGATTCTTGGTTTCTGATGCTTGTGCTAATTCTTTCTTATCTTTACTTAGAGCCTCCTCAAAGTGATGTAAAGTACTTGATTTGGCATAGGACAACGTCATCTCGGTCATCTTCATCCGGGAATCCTGTGGGATTAAATTCGAAGGATGATGTGAGGACCTTAACGACAATCTTTTCTATAATGCCTGCATGATTTCAGGCAGTCATGCCTCAACCTTGGATAGACTATATGCATGGGAGAGGAAGCTTTATGATGAAGTAAAGGTATATTTGTTTTCTCTTTTGCTTTACGTTTTCCCTCCTGATTTTTTTCATTTCTGGTTATGAGCCTTCTGTGGTGAAATATGGTATCCCAAGATAAATTCGGTGTTTTGTTGTTTAGATGCATTAGGAATTGAAACAATTGTATGGAAGAATGTGCTTGCATAAGTACTGGTTTTGGTTCTGTGCTACTCATGTTTCTTCTGTTAAGAGATTATCATTTAAAGAAGAATACTTCAAGAATTTAGCTTCGAAATCCTAGGAAAATGAATGCCTTTGTAGTTAATCGTATGTTTCCGAACTCTGCCTAAATGTGGAGACGTGCACAGTTATTTTTCTGGATTCGAGTTGAACTTCAAATAGTTTACTATGAAATCTTCTTGTTACTTGTTTGCTGTTTTCCAAAGTTGAAAGCGATCCAATTTTTCACTAGTAAGTTGAATCCTTGAGGTTATCCAGTATAGCGGTGATTGGATTTCGGGCATTAAATTTATGATCACTGATAGTTATTCATTTTATATTTCTCTTAACTTCAGGCCAGCGAGACAGTCCGTAGTGAGTATGACTTGAAGTGCAAAATCTTAAGACAGCTGGAGTCGAGGGCAGAGAGTTCAAGCAAAATTGACAAGACTCGAGCTGTTGTCAAGGATTTGCACTCAAGAATTAGAGTTGCAATCCAAAGAATTCACTCAATATCAAAAAGGATTGAGGATTTACGTGACAATGAGCTACAGCCACAACTTGAAGAGTTGATCGAAGGGTATTTCTTCATCTACTGTATCTCATTTTCCATTTCTGCCGTACTTTTACGGGCCTGTAGTTCCAATACGTTTACTTCCTAAAATAGTTTTTTGCTTGCGCTCGTATCTGAAATACTCTTATTCTAAATAATCTGTTTCACCTA